TGTATAAAACTCTGTAACTAGTTGCGGAACTATCAGAGATGGCACTCTATATGCTATATGATACTTGTTTCTGATTCCTCAATATTAATCCGCCGATCAAATTTTGAAATGAAGCAATAAGCAAACAATCTTTTGTTTTAATATGGGGATTAGAGACCCTTCTACTCAAATTGCATATTTTTTAGATTGTTCGAACCTGGAGGGTGTAACGCATTCACCACAAAATTTAAAAAAATTCATCTATCAAGAGATAACTGAATTTTTCTTCATAGTATTTTCTTAATATATTTTGCTTCTCAAACATAATTTATAGTGCAGTATTATTTATGCATATAGTATTTTGCGAATATGTAAAATGTCTTTAATTATATATATATACGTATAATAATTTTAACCCCTACTGAGCGAGGGCCGTGGAAAATGCTTGTTCCGGAAGTTGTTGTATCCAGTATACAACTTCTTCCCGTCCAAGTGATTGTGCACGCGTTAAGGAATACCTCAGTACCGATTGCCGGGTGGCGGTACAAGTCCGCCAACGGGCCACTTTAGGTCTATTTAACATCACTAACACGTAAAAAGAAGGTGGTAGACAAGGACCAGTCGACCGAGGCAGTACCACCCGCTGGCTTTTCCCAGGGTGTCTTATAAATGTCCGCATGTTTCCACACCTAAGCTATGCAGTCGGTTATCTACCAAAACAAAGAAATTAATGATGATGGATCCCTCGAGCACTAAAAACTCCGGACGTAATCTCACTCCACTCTCGGAATGTCCGGGTGGAGGGTGGGCTCGAGGGAACAACATCGAAGATAAAATTTGTTTTTCGAACATCTGCGGGATCACCAGCAACATTGATGCTGTTCATCACTACCTGCAATCCAATCGTCCCGCCGTGCTTTTCTTGGCGGAGACAAAAATCTCAGAGACTGCACCGATTAACCATCTCAACTTCCCAAACTACGAGGTGCACTCCAATCTGAGAAAGAACGGGGGAGTTGTGGCTTTTGTCCGCAGCAGTCTTTCCTGCTCCAGGGATCTTTCTTTGGAATCAGACCGGAAGGACATTCTGTGGCTTCGGCTCAGCTCCAAAACATCACCCAAATTTATTTGCTGCCTTTATCGCTCTCCCTCGAACCATAACTGGGATGACCTACTCGAATACCTCGCCGTCCAGATCGACTTCCTGAACATCAATCACCCCGCTTCAGAGGTAGTTCTTCTCGGTGATTTCAATGCCCATAATGAGCTTTGGTTGGGCTCAAATAAGACCGATGCAGCAGGTCGTGCAGTCGAAGCGTTCGCTCTTACTCAAGGGCTGACCCAGCTGGTCACAAGCCCTACTTTTTTCCCCCGCGTCTCGTCACTCGCCAGTAGCCTGCTGGATCTCTTTCTGACCACGCATCCTGCCCCTTACAGCACTGCTGTCCTGTCCCCCTGGGTAACTCAGATCACGGTGTTGTGGAGGTTAGGTTTCGGTCAGAAGCCGCTGTGGCAGCAGAAACTCGCATAGGCCGCAAAACTTGGCATTACGGACATGCCGACTGGGAGGGGCTCAGATAGACTTCTTCTCTAGCTTTCCTTGGAGAGATGTCTGTTTCACTGACGCGGATGCGTCGACTGTCTGTTCTTCAATAACCGAAATTATCCACGTCGGAATGGAGGAATACATCCCTCACACAGTGAAAGTTCCTAAACCAGGGCCCAACGGCTGGTTCAACAAATCGTGTGACACTGCTCGCCAGCAGAGGATCAAGGCCCACAGAACCTACTTACAAAACCCCACTGTAGAGAACAGACAAGCCGACGTCGAGTCCAGAAACAAATATAACGAAGCGGTTCGCAATGCCAAAAACCAGCATGATATAAAAGTTAGGCACAGGGTAATGTCGCAGCGCAATGGCAGTCGGTCTTTCTGGACGCTGGCCAAGCAGATTGAAAAGAACTTCTCACACAGTAGCCTTCCACCACTTACGTGTCAGGATGGAACTATTGTATTCGACTCAAAGGCCAAGGCGGAAGTGCTAGCCAAGATCTTTGCTGCCAACTCCACCATGGACGTCCCCACCAACGCCCAAGTGCCGTCAATTCAAAGGGTTCCCCATACTATGCGGGAGGTAACATTCAGGCATAAGACCGTAAGACGAGTGCTCTTGTCGCTCAACATCAACAAAGCTTCTGGTCCGGACTTGATTCCTGCCATTGTACTGAAGAGATGTGCAGCGGAGCTTGCTCCAGTTCTTTCGCGTCTCTTCCAGATATCTTATGAATCCGGCACCTTCCCAGAAAACTGGAAATTTGCTCATGTACAACCCATCCCAAAAAAAGGATCTAAAACCGACCCTTACAACTACAGGCCTATAGCTCTGCTTTCTGTCATAAGTAAAGTGATGGAGAGGTGCATAAATCGCGAGCTTCTGGACTACCTCGAACGTCACAGCTTGATTAGCGACAGGCAGTACGGTTTCCGGCACCAACGATCCACAGGGGACCTCCTAGCTTACGTCACGCAACTGTGGAGTAAACTCATCCAGTCTCATGGTGAGGCTCATGTCGTTGCTCTTGACATCACGAAAGCGTTCGATCAACTGTGGCACGCTGCCCTCTTAAGCAAACTTCCATCCTATGGCCTCCCAGAAAAGCTTTGCAGATGGGTGGTTGACTTTATCTCTGGCCGCAAGATATCCGTCGTAATTGACGGATTCTCCTCTTCATCCTACAACGTCAACGCGGGTGTTCCCCAGGGATCGGTCTTGGCTCCAACACTGTTTCTCTTACATATCAACGACCTCCTTTCCTGCACGATCAACCCAATCCACAGCTTCGCTGATGACAGCACTCTACATGCAGGAATTCAGAGTGACAAGCCGATCTCTGCCGCTGAGCTGGAAAAAAGAAGACTAGCGACGACTTCTTCTCTGACAAGAGACCTGGAGGCTATCACTGCTTGGGGTCGCAACAATCTTGTACAGTTCAATGCCTCCAAAACACAGTACTGTACTTTGACGAACAAAAAGCGTCCTAGCGCTCATACAGTTTCGATGGACGGTCGAGTTCTACCAAAGAGCCATTCATTTCGGCTGGTCGGAGTCCAGATCACCGAGGACCTGATCTGGCACGAACACATCTCTTCAATAGCTGCAGCTGCTGGGAAAAAGCTAGGCTATTTGTTTAGGGCTAAGAAGTACTTTTCTCCGCATGACATTCTCACTCTATACAAGGCCCAGATAAGGCCTAGCCTCGAGTATTGCTCACACATTTGGGGTGCTGCCGCCCCGACTACATTGTCCATGCTCGATGCTGTCCAGAGGAGGGCGGTCCGACTGATCGATGACTCTTCTCTAACAGACAGTCTCGGGACTCTTTCGCACCGGCGGGTCGTCGGCGATCTAGCTCTTTTCTATCGCTACACCAACGGGCTTTGCTCCTCAGAGCTCTCTTCCATGATGCCGCCGCGCGATGTGCCTGCCAGACAGACCCGCCTGACTTCGACGTCCCATCCTAACCGTGTCAAACTTCGTACATCCAGAACTGGCCGATACGACCGCTCCTTTGTCTCGAGGGTGTCTAGATTGTGGAACAATCTACGGGAGGAAGCTTTTCCCAGTTCTTCTAACCTTAGGCAGTTCAAAAATAGGATCAACAAAATTTCTTTGGGATAATCATAGCAGCCGCGGTGTTCCGGCATTTAGGCTTCTGCCTGCGCGGCTGTTTCGATATATAAAAAAAAAATGTATACAGGGTGACTTTGAAGTTGAGTCATTAATTTTCAGATAATGATTGTAAAAGGAAGATAAACCAAAATATGTGTGTAAAAATAAAAAAAAATTAAAAAAAAATGTTACCTTGTTTTATAAAGTATCCTCCCGACAAGTATTTCAGTGCGGACCTGTATTTGATCGTGCGGTCTTGGAGCACCGGCATGCCCTCCCCTGTGAGGTCTTAAGTCACCTGATTCACGAGCCCTTTGTTCTATATTAACAAAGGCACGAGGGGTTGGTTGCACTCGATTGGGAAACCGATCCGCATAAATCCGTGATGCCTCGTAAATAAGAATCATGTCCACAAGTTCAGCATTTTCGTAAACATGTGCCATTTTTTATTTCGTTTGAGCCACGCAACAGACACCACTATTCACTCACGCGTTACCGACTGAGACTGACTGAATACAACTGAATAAAATAATTGTAAAAACATCGTTCCAAATTCTTTCGCTTTTTTGTTTCCGATGCGATGAACCGATAAGGCGGATTATATCCGTTGTTGCCAAACACGAGCACATAATATTATTATTGAGACAGGGCGGTACTCAAACTTCCAAAAGGCTATAACTTTGTTACTTTAATTTTACCAGAAAAATGGTAAAGGAAAAAAACATTTCTTTTGATCAGATCTACTCACTGTTAAAATAAATGACTCAACTTCGAAGTCTAGTCTGTATAATAAGAGTATTTTTGGTACATTGGAATAGTAAGCAAACAAAACTCAGGTATTGTACATCTTCTAGAACATTTTATTTAATAAAAAGAACCTAATAAACTGGCAATGAAAATCTAACAAAACAATCCATACCTGATAACAGTAGTGCCAATAAAATAATCTTTGTTTAACTACGAGAAAAAAAAGTAGAAACACGAACTATGACGAAAGATCTAACTTCCTAACTTTTTTAGACAAGGCTTTCAACAATATTGTTGGTTCTGACAGAAAATTTCAATCAGGTACCGACTGTATCCAATACAGTAATCTCTAAAAGAGCATAAGGAAATAATATAAGGAACTTGAAAATACAAAACTAAATCAACAACAAAAGATCGATCTTCCAAACTTTTTTCTGACTAGTTTGTGACTTTACTACTGATAGCTGATTACTTTTTGTATTCATAGGTGTGCTGATTAAACCAATACTCCCAAAAAGGTGTTCGCTATATTCAACTATATAATTTATACATTAAAAATGTTCCACATTTACAATACTTAAAGCTTACTCCGTTGTATATGCATTATTCGGCATGCACTGAATTCTTCTTGTTCACGTTATACAACATTGTATAATAAGAAAACGCTGTCTTCATGACCTAAAACAAACGCCTGCCTCATGAACCACAAATTGACATTAGATGCATTTCTATTACCAGTTTGAAGCCATTTGTACAGTAACTCAGAAGAGCTACATAATACAAATGTCAAAGCTTCGTATAAAAATTAAGAGTTTCAACGTTAGAAAATAGCACAGTAGTAGTAGCTTACTCGTAAGAAAGAGCCGATAGAAACGTCAAAGAAGTCTACTGCGTAAAATTTTAGTGGCTTTTGGGCGTTCGCAAGAAAAAATATCAAATCCTTCTTCACAGAATTGGAGGCATCTATCCAGGAACTGTAAAATGCCGCTAGTGGTATTTTCTCACTCTGAAATGGTGATTAAGATGATTATTGTGATGATAGTACGAGGGTGGTCTTATGAGCAAGCCTCGCCGCTTGATGGCGCTACTATCGCAGGAGAACTTCTACATTCTCTTAGACAGCTATTGCCAAAATTTCACCCGAATTAGACTCGCAGTTTTGCCACATAACTTTGCGTATATTAGTTAAATTATGTACGTTATGTGGAACATTTTCACGAGTATCAATCACATAATGACTAGATTTACTTACTTCTACTGTTGTTGGTGGTTGCATTCAACATAAAAAGCTCTTTAAGAATCAATAATAATTTGCCTAAATGCATGTGGGCAAATGATAAACACAAATAAATTTGTTGATTCGGCAGTTTGTCGTATGACATTCGTGACGTCTGGCTATTAAAGCGTAACAACCCCTCGGAAAAAATAGTCCCGGCGTTCATGGAGTTAAAAATTGGCTTATGGAGTTTCAACGTGGTCGCACGTCGGTTTCTGACGAGTCATATCCAGGTGCCCCGAAAACGGCTACCAGGAAACGGCAATGCATAGGTATACTTTATCTGAAGTCACTTGAAACACTGTGAAATACCGGGTGCGTTTTATATATCTATATTTAACACGCTCTGTTGCTGCAAAAATCGCCAAATTTCGCAGCAAATATCCCCCGTATAAGAGATCAAAGGCAGTTTCACCGGTCCACGTGGAGTAAAGCACGCTTATGCGTGGACATAGCCAATGAGAAAGCGTGTATTTCAGAGCTCCGAACAAGTGCAGGTGGCTACTGAAAAATGAAACAGTTTAGCCAGTGCCGTGTAGCGGTGAATAAACGTGTTTTCTTTAGTCTGTCCGTGTTTTTTCATAGATTTTATTAGTTTGTGTGTTTTTGACTTTTGAATACTCAGTTTACTTGTTGATTTAATTGTTGTGTTGATTGTTGTTGTGTGTCCTAAATATGGCTCTTTGGAGACCTTGGGAAAATGCTCCAAGCCACGAGGAGATGGTTGATGAACCTGTGCAGGCAGAATTCTTTCATAAAGATTTAGAGGAACAGACCCAAAGAGTAATCCTAAATATGTATGATTGTCTGAAAAACGAAAATCCAGATTCCTCGCAAAATCAAATTTTAAACAGAATTTGTATCCTGACAAAAATCAGTCGGTCTACCATTTATCGGGTTATAAAAAGGGGAGATGTAGTCAACCATTCCTTACACAGAAAGCGCATAGGGCAAAAATTAAAAAGAATAGACGTGGGTTTTCAGGAAGATATTCGTCGTATAATATACGGATTTTATAAAGAAAATTTGGTGCCCACGTTGGAAATGATACGGGATAAATTAAAAGATTATCCTGAAGATTTTTATAATTACAAATGCTTAGACTCACTGCACTGTATTGTAAAACTGTGTGGTTTTCAATACAAAAAATTAGATAAAAGAATGGTGATTATGGAGTCGTCTCGAATCGTTGAATTGCGCCAAGAATTTTTGCACAAAGTTAAAATCTATAGAGAGCAGAAAATAAATCTGATTTACCTGGATGAAACGTGGTATGATACCCATGATGTTGTGCAGTACGGCTGGGTTGACGACAGCAACAAGTGCATTTTAAATGCACCATGCAACCGTGGAAAACGAATCATTATTCTCCATGCTGGCAGTGAAAATGGATTTATACCTAATGCCTTGCTGTTATCTGCCAAAAATATCAAAGAATCATGTGCCGACTATCATGAGGACATGACCTCCGACTTATTTGAAAAGTGGAGATAGAGCAGCAGTTAATACCAAACATTTTCCCAAATTCAGTGATTATTATGGACAATGCGCCATACCATTCCCGACAGAAAAACAAAATTCCGAATACAGGCACAAAAAAACAAGACATTATTGATTTTATGAAGGATAACGGAATGGAAATACCACAAAAATCAACCAAAGCCATATTATTGGATCTTATTAAAAGACAAAAATTTGAAAAAGAGTATGTTGTTGACAATCTGCTTCAGCAAAATGGCCATGAAGTATTACGTCTACCTCCCTATTACTGCATTTTTAACCCGATTGTGTTGGTCTGGGCTGCTTTAAGAAAAAAAGTAAGAAAACATAATCAGACCCCTCAATTAAGTGAATCGCTATTGGCCACAATAAGAGATGCAGTATCTCATATTGCTGCCACAGACCTATGGAAGCAGTGTTCTAGGCATATTATTGAAAAAGAAAATGAATATTGTGTTTTGCCTCCTGTAAATCCCGTTGTAATTCCTCTACAAGATGACTCTAGCGACAGCTCCGAAGGCGAGGATGATATATAAATACCTATAATGTAAGTCTTTATATACCTTTTTATATACCTACCTGCTATGTAAATATTTGCCTATATTAAACGTTGGAATTCTGTAATTTTTCCATTTCTTAACTTTCAGTCAACATAAATTAAACTACCAATATAAGTATTTTTTATCCAAAATCAAAAAAATAAGAAAATAGTAAAATCCATTTATTGTGATATAAAAACATTATTATTATCGTTCTAAATAAATGCCGCACGCCTATGATACGTCATGAAATTACAAAGGACGCGCCGACCAAAGGTTTTTATGCTATTTCAAGTGACTTCAGATACACCATACATATATAGTGAGGATTTGTGTGCTAATAATATGTGTTGATGGTAATTCCATTGGATTCTTGTCTCAAATACACTAATTTGAGATTCAAAGCTAGAAATTAGTTGCGCATCCACTTTTTGCTTATCCATTCTGGAAATTACATATGCAAATATGCTGAATTTCAAAAATAAGAGAGATAAGAAATAATTATATTCACTGTACACTGTCAAATTATAAGTTATACAGGGTGTTCCTTAATGATATGCGAATATTTAAGAGTGTTAATCTATATGAAAAATTAATGTTAGTTTGCTATCTACATGGTAACAGTAATTACATACTACGCGGGCGCGGTGGTGATTTCCCGTAATTCTCCTAAAGGTTTTTGAAAACACGTACAAAATCGTAATCTATAACTTTGAACATAGCCTGTCTTCAGAAAGGACAACATATAAATAACCCATCGGACACAGCTATTGGATATGCTTTATTGGCAGCATATTCAGTAATAATTTTCTGACACAGCAAATATCACTGATTTTACACATGCAGAGCAATACACAAAATCATCCAGATGCGATCTTGCTATTCAACCAACTTTCTTCTCAGAGATGAAAACTACAGACTACTCGGTTTCACAAAATATATGCAACCAACAATGCGTGTAGTTGAGCTATTCCTCCATAGATGGACGGACAACGATCCTAGTGAGCAAACGTGGAATGACTGTTTGCACTTAAAAAACTACCTATTGTTTTCATTATTGACTATGGGGAAAAATCCAACTTCAAATAAGGCGTATGGCGATTTCTGGACTAGAGTAGCGAAAAAGTAGTATGAGAAGGTTCTTACCTTATTTTGCATTTCTGAGGCATACCAGCAAGGAAATAGTATGACGAAAATCTGACATAATTGATATCCTATCAGAACAATCGCCTGAAAATCGTAATGGTCAACCTGAAACATATCAACTGTCTTGCATATTCCAGCTATGCCCTGGGCATCGTCTTATTTCATTTGTCTAAGAAAAGTTGATTTGAAACAGTCATTCTTCAGTTCATAAAGTGAAGCCATCATATCAAAGGGTTTCCTCTAACTCCTAGCAGATGTTCACAACAATACTCTATTCACAAACAGATTTGGTTAGTTACGAGGGTTGTTCAATTGAAACCCATCTTTGGTCCAAAAAAAATTATTCGCAAATATATCTACAAATAATTACCACTACAATTAAGGCACCCTGCTTAACGAATTCTTGTGGCTGCTACTTGAAGAATCCTTTTACGGCATTTTGTAGTTCTTAGCTCGACTAAAACTGCTTTAACGCCTTTTTCAGTGGCCCAAAAATGTGAAAATCGCAAAGCGATAATTCGGGACTATAGCGCGGATGCTCTAATATCCTCCATTTCTTTCGTTGTAGATTTTCTTTGCGTATTTCCATTGCATCGATGACAGCAAACTGGATGGTTCGAAATGATAACACCAAAATTCGTCGCCAGCAATCATTGACGAAAGAAAGTCTTCCACTCTTAAATTTTCGATCCATTCCTTGACAGTTGGATACGCAAAACACGCGTTTCCATACATTGCTTGCATTCGCGTATGAAATTGAATGACCGCGCGCTGATTATACAGGCTGTTTCAGTTTATTGTTGCATAACTTTAAGATTCGATAGAACTTTTAAAATTAATGCATAAAGTCTATATAAACATGGGTCGAAAAATGCGTGGCTTCCGAAATACAGGGCATTTAAATTTACTTTCTAAAATAGTTTTTTTTAAATATGTCGAACAATATTTGATGTATAACAGTGAAAATTGGTATACAAGGGTTTTTTGGTACGACAAAACGAACCATGGGCATAGTTTAACTATAGCCGCTAGAGGGCGCTCTTTACTGTACCTGTAGTGTATTAAAATGACCGAAAATTTTTTCTTATTGCAATTTTTTGCTTTTTGAACAAAAAAACTAATTCTTCGCACTTTTCAACATAAAAAAGCTCTCTTGTGAATTTTCGTTATAAATAGTCGTTTTTGAGATATTTCGATTTTTAAGGTTCGATGCATTTTTAACTATTTATCAAAAATAACGTTAAAAAGTCAGTATCTCGATAATTTTTAGAAGTAGGCTGTGCCTGCAAATATTTTTGGAATTGAAAGCAGAATAAGGTTAAGCGTCAATTATAGTAGTTGACAGTTAGTTTTGTTGTCTGTTGAAACCTGGAACGTTTTTTTTTTTCAATTGTGAATGCACGAAATTTAGTTTCTTTTACCTGTTTTTTTTTTTGTAAGTTTTATAAAAATGCCATTTTTATTCTCCAATCAAGAGTTAGCGGATATTCATTTTGTGTATGGCTTTGTAAATGTAAACGCAGCAGAAGCAGCCAGAGAATACGCACGAAGATTTCCAAACAGACGACATCCAACTCGCTCAGTATTTGTAAGAGTGCATCGCCAAATAATCGAAAATGGTTTTGGAAATCTCCAAAGGGATCAAAACATAAATGTTCGTCAGCGCAGATTTACCCGTATGATTCTGCGTGAGTTTGATAGAGATCCGACCACAAGTGTTAGGAGAGTTTCTGGTGCCTTGGGAATTTCAGCAAGCCATGTTCACCGTGTTCTTAGAAATGACCATAGACGTCCTTACCATTGCAAGGACCACAGCCAGGGGACCAAAAACGAAGAATCACATTTTGTCAGTGGATTCTTAATAGTACTGATAATAATAGGGAGTTTTTTAGTAACGTTTTATGGAACGATGAATCATGCTTCACTAGACGTGGAGTGGTAAATTTTCAAAATCAACATATTTGGTCGCTTGAAAATCCGCATGCAGTTCGGGAAAGAAATTTTCAGCATGAATTTAGTGTGAACGTGTGGATTGGTATCTACCGTAATCGACTATTTGGCCCCTACCTTTTGCCTGCAAGGTTGAATGCTGCGACCTTCTTGGAATTTTTAAAGGCTGAACATGCAAATATGTGGGATGATGTTATGTTAGATTTAAGATTGGCTTGATGGTTGTCCAGCTCATTATTCGAGAATAGTTAGAAACTGGCTGGACGAAGATTCTCCAGAAAGATGGATCGGCCGTGAAGGACCAGTCGCCTGGCCTCCACGATCCCCTGACCTAAATCCATTAGATTTCTTTGTGTGGGGATTTCTAAAAGAAAAAGTGTACCAGACTCCCGTAACCACAAGAGATATGCTAATAGACAGAATCAGGAATGCATGTGATGAAATAAGGCCTTATTTGAATAATGCTATAACCACGTTCGATCATTCGTAGATGTGAATTGTGTATTGAACAATTGGGTTTACATTTCGAGCAACTACTTTAGATTTTGTATGTTTGTCCTAACTATCCAATAGCAATTTATTTGTAAATAATTAATTTAATTTGTTAAAAATAATATTGGAAAATTAAACAAATTAATATTCTGTTTTTTGTGTTTATTTGGAGTTAGGAATTATTGCTGTGTTTAAAAACACAATCTAAACGATCATCTTAATTACTTGTAATGCCCAAAATGGAAAATGTAAAAGAAATATTATTTTCCCATAAATAATTAAAAATGCATCGAACCCTAAAAATCGAAATATCTGAAAAACGGCTAACTATAACGAAAACTCACAAAAGAGCTTTTTTATGTTGAAAAGTGCGAAGAATCAGTTTTTTTATTCAAAAAGCAAAAAATTGCACTAAGAAAAAATTTTCGGTCATTTTAATACACTACAGGTACAGTAGAGAGCTCCCTCTAGCGGCTACAGTAAAACTATGCCCATGGTTCGTTTTATCGTACCAAAAAACCCTTGTATACCAATTTTCACTGTTATATATCAAATATTGTTCGAAATATTTAAAAAAAACTATTTTAGAAAGTAAATTTAAACACCCTGTATTTCGGAAGATACGCATTTTTCGACCCATGTTTATATAGACTTTATGCATTAATTTTAAAAGTTCTATCGAATCTTAAAATTATGCAACAATAAACTGAAACACCCTGTATTTGGACAGATTGTTAACAAAAAAAAACGCCGTTTTTAGGCCACCATAATTAAAATCACAAAATCAAAAACACAACTCACATTACAAAACGTCAATTAACTGATTAGAATTGTCTCCAAGGCTAACCTGATCAAAGATGGGTTTCAATTGAACCAGCCTCGTATATAAAAAGAAATGCTTGATTACGTAAATTATATGTTTAGGGGGTTTGGGGAATTATCAATACTTTTAATAGCAGCGGCCCCAACACAGAGCCCTGAGGCACGCCTGTGGGAATTATTGTCACTAGTTGCCAAAAGCACACTGGTGCTTTAATTAAAGTAACTGTCGTGAAATGAAATGGATGAATTGTCAAGTTCTAGGTAATTTAATTTAGCCAGTACGAATTTATGATTGATACCGTCAAAAGATTTCGAATAGTCTATCGGGATTCACGCTAGTACCATTTTTTTGCCTAAGGCACTTAAAATATTGTCTTGCAGATTGAAAATAGCAGATGTTGCGCTATATTTTTTCTAAAACCGGATTGAGTATCGGGAAGTATAAAGAATATTTCTAGATAAGCGGTCAGTTGAAATTTGACTATTTTCTCTAAAATTTTGGATATAATTTGGCCAAAAACTGATTGGTCTGAGATCACTATGCTCAGTCGTTTTCATTTTTTTAGGAATTGCAATAATTAGAGCTTGTTTGATGGCTCTAAGTTGGTGCAAAACTTACCAACGCTAATAGAAACATACTCATACACATCGTCAAAGTTACCGATGCGAAGTGAGCAAAATGTACCATCCTGAAAATGTCATCTGACGTCTTCAAAAACCTACAAGTTTGAACAAACACGATACATGTCTCTGTTCTGTCAGCTGCTACTTACAAAACTGTTCTTCTGTGATGATCTACAATTCTTTTGATGTTCTCTGATTTCAACAGTTCGATGCGCTCTAAATTTTGGCAGATGAACTCACACTGCAGACCAATGAATGTAGTCAAGGCAGTGAATATCATTTCCGAATACACGACAACTACTACCTGCAAAATAATAAAGGGTTTGTAACGGTTTCACCGTCCGATTGTATTTATTAAATCACTTCTCGATTTTCATTTCAGAATCGCAACTCATTAATCCCATCTCTAGCTTATCCCATCTCTAGCTTTTTTACTTGGAAACATTTCCGCTTGGAGCGCGCTTGATGCGGAGTTCCTGATCTGTGATCTTCCTCGCGCTTCCTTTTCACTTGAGCCGCCGATCTAACAAGAGCTAAGAATTTTGTTCTCTGTATCACCATGTGCTAGCAGTTTGTAAAATGTGTGTCCAAATAGGATAAAATGATTGGGGCCACCCCCTTTTTATTAAAAGTCAAAGGGCTATAAAGCAGTGCAATCATTTTGAAATATATGCTTCATTAAGTACTTATAGAAAATTTTATTAAAATACAACCATTTAAACTGGGTGTTCGGATTTATATGTCACTTAGTATAATAAAAAATGCATCGAACCTTAAAAATCGAAATATCTCAAAAACGGCTAACTATAACGAAAATTCACAAGAGAGCTTTTTTATGTTGAAAAGTACGAAAAATCAGTTTTTTTATTCAAAAAGCAAAAAATTGCACTAAGAAAAATTTTTCGGTCATTTTAATACACTATAGGTACAGTAGAGAGCGTCCTCTAGCGGCTACAGTAAAACTATGCCCATGGTTCGTTTTGTCGTACGAAAAAACCCTTGTATACCAATTTTCACTGTTATATATCAAATATTGTTTGAAATATTTAAAAAAAAACTATTTTAGAAAGTAAATTTAAACACCCTGTATTTCGGAAGATACGCATTTTTCGACCCATGTTTATATAGACTTTATGCATTCATTTTAAAAGTTCTATCGAATCTTAAAG